CGCAAACTAATGAAAAAATATACTTCTATAGGTATGCGAATTTCTTTGAACTGTAAAACGTTCACCCTTTTACAAAATTCAAACCTGCGTATAAGTCTCTTTGACAGAAATTTAGGCTTTATTATTAGAAAACATAAGTATTCATGGAAATTTTCATTCATGAAGATTGAATATTTGTCGTATCTAACACATTTAAAAAAATTGTTTTATGTTGTTTATATCTGTAGCGTATCCAGATTGTTACTTAGCTTATTTAATCACATTGATATGATTACGTCTAAATTCTAATTCAGGTGAATTGTTCCATTATAGAAAAGATCTTATTAAGTCACACAGGAGAATTATTATCTTGAAATAGATGGGTGATTTTTCAAACTTCATCAGTTATAATAATAATAATGTTAATTCTCCTGAATTCACTTTTTCCCCCTAACTAATTCTTATTACAGAATGAGCATCTTTCACTCTTCGGTATGAGGTAGACACTTTCCATCATCACTATATTCATTATCGTTCATTTGTGCTCTACATTCCGAGTAAAACATACGCTTTCAGCAGCACATTTGCATTGTTTTTTTTTCTGCTGTCAACAAGCTTTCATTGTCTGTGTTACTATTAGGCGCCCAACTTTTTATTTCCCATTCTAGTTCCACTCGAGGGCTTAATGTTTAATGTCATTTCAAAGTATCCTCAAAGTATATACAACCATTAATCGTTATTTTCCTCCTCATATTTATTGGGTTAGTTCGTTGTTATACTTCATTGCTGTTTATTCTTCCCAACCGACCGTCTGATCTTCATTATCGAGCTAACGAGGACATCTGTTGGTAAAAATCTTTAGCCTGTTGAAAATGCATGCTACTGAAGCCTTCATCATCATACTAGTGCTATTTTTAACTTACTATAGTGTGTAATCGTTTAAACTTTTTTACTGTATGGCGTATTCATTGATTAATTAATTGGTACCATCGAAATCCTGTTCACACGCTACATACATTATGTGTGGGTTCGTCTCAGGTGATCACACCAGTGGTGTTTACATATAAATAATCAAATTCAGATATTGTTATAGTTGTTTTAATTACAGGAATGAGAGTGTCGTCAGAGGATTCATTTTCCCATGAAAACAAATAACAAAAATGAATATTACAGTCAATAATAGAACTAAAATGTTGAATTTCTAAACGAACTAGCTTCAAATTGTATTTCAACATCATTTCAGGCTTAGGGTTTTGTTCTGTATTTATATTTATAGTTTCAAGTAATATTATTATTATATTATTGTATCCTTTAGTTCCTAGAGGAACATAGGGCTTCAGCTACGCACCTCCATTGACTTCGGTTTTTTGACAACTTTTTCACCCTGCTCCAGGTCTGCCCACATGCTTTCATCTCCTCTTCACATGACCTCCTCCAAGTCACCCTTGGACGACCAACTCGCCGCCTCCCTTTCGGGTTCCACTCGAGGGCTTGTCTAGTGATGTCACTTGTTGGTTTCCTCAGCGTATGGCCAATCCATCTCCATTTCTTTCAAGTAATATACCAAGGCAAATCATTTGATGTAGTTGTGACCCTCTATGTCAACTGAGAGACCTGTCAATGGCAATGGTCAGCATATTTGGATGGGACAGACTACCGCTTTAGAGAATTTTTGTGTGCCCATAAATCCACTTACTGGTATTAATTTAGTTATATTGCCGCACTAAGCGTACACGTTTCAACAACACCTGTAAACACTATCTAACATAGTTATCTTGTGGACAATGCTAACCAATCACCAGCCTTATTCTCCATCATCTGGTGAATTCAAGAACCACCTAACTGCCCTTTTGAAATTACTTACAAAGGAAACCCGAATGGTATAAGAGGTTTTAGGTTTTGAAACTTATGTATAACGGCGATGCTACCTGTTTAACCTCGAACTCTGTGTGCGGAAAAAGTTTTTTCAGTCTCCTATTCTACTGTGATCGTAAATACCTTCCTACTAGTTTGCTGCGATAATGACTCTTTTCTATGCCTTCGGTACATTTCAACAGAGAGCACTTTGTTCTCACCTTAACACTTGTCACGTGGACATGTAACGGCCTTGCTTCTCATCAAATCAGTGTTAACCTTATCAAATTTCAAAGACTTACTTCTATCTCTGCATCATTTCTTCCTATCTTTAGAAATCACATCTGTGCAACTGTATATTACACACCCACCCGTTACATAATAATAATATATTGTTATAAGTCTTAGTTAATGTAAATTCGACCGCACATTAACATATAATAATAAACAAATTAATATGGAATAATGATCGTACATTCTTTGTAGATGACTTCATCGATAAAGAAAATTTTCTTCACTGACCTACCTTTCAGTTAATGAAACATCGGACTGGTGGTCTGATCATCAATAACAATGTTCAACTAACCTTGAGCTAGGTCCTAAAAATATTGAGACATTCATTGAAAACTCTCTAGATCAATTAAAGTGCCTTATATGTATTTACTATTTATCATGGTTAAAAATTTAAACACCCATTTAAGTGTTATCTTTGTTATCATAGTAATATTAACCTGTTTGTGGTTACTTCAATTCTTATATGCTGTTTCAAAGGAGAGATGATAAAACATCAATGAATTCATCGGTTTCAGTGAAAATATCTTGCTAGTCTGTTACAGTAAATGTTGTTTCTCTGTTCGATATCTAGGCATCAAGCTTCAGAGTTAAACATATAAAATGGCATCCTCATCATTTTATTCTAGCATGTGTTGCCTATCACATCAGAAATGCTTCGTTTTAACTTTTAGTTTAATGACACTCATTCAAACTGCTGTATTTTAGTTATTGTGGAGGGAGGGGTGGTATGATTTAACATCTCTAAATAGTGGCAATTCTAAATGATATAATCAGCTTCGATTATGAAGCATTCCGCTGAACTATTGACACTTTTTTTATTCCCTCGCGTTCACAGTGGACCATAGAGCATCATGCTTTAGCTCTGAAGTTTCAATAGCAGTCAATCATGTTTTTGTGTGATTCAATATTGTTGTCTACGTTATTATTTTATTTTAATCAATATACATTGTATACATGTCAATTAAACTAAATCATTGTTTTTGTTTTGTTCATTTTCACCTTTGAGAAATTCCAAAAAAAATATATTCAAGTTTATTTGTTTATTTATAAAAAAAATGACGTCATAAAGTACACTACACAATTTACATTGACCAGCATGACTCAAGAAAAAAAGTATCCGTAGAAGCGCATTAAATAAGTTACTCTAAGGAATTAGAGTGGTTTTCGTCACGTACCGATATGACTTATAGAACCCCTGGAAAACAGGAATATTTCTTGAGTTTTTTGTTGGAATGAAAAACTGTATAAGCTAGATTCTGTCCAGTAAATATGAAGAGACCTCTGTACTAAAATAGCATTATATGAGGTTTGTCTTATACAGTCAATCGATAGAAATTGAAATTTACAAGTCAATGGTTACCTACCTAGTGAAATGCTTGTTGCGAGACTTTACAATCTTCAACTTCATCTTATAAAGGTTCTTGGTTATCAATGAAGAAACGCTACGAAATGTAGCCAAAATATTTATCGAACGAAACAATTTTAATAAAATTAAAATAAGATATGTTAAGAATGATACTAATGAGCGAGAATGTTCAGTAGAAGATATCATTTCGACAATTTCATCCTCAATAGCTGTACAGTCGCTATTCTATACATTTTCGTTATGTGTAGCTACAAGTATTATTTAACTGAATGTATTGACAAAGGCCTCCTGACAGGTATTCTTTATAATTTAAAATAGTGAATTAATTACTTAAAATAGGATCTAATCTTTTCTGCACACGGAGTTTGGGCTTGAGTTAATGAATCTATAGTGTCTAACTCATGCACAGGTGTCAGAGCCTGACACTTCTGTTTTTACGAATCAGCGTCTGCTAAGTAGAAAACTTTCAAAAGAAACTGCATCACTCCGAAGGTTTACCTAATGACTGACTTTGATCTTTTTTAATGCTACGTGCTGCATAATGTTCTGAGATGCATTTGGAAAGTTGGCCTGTATAACTGACCACCCCTAACAGTAAGCTGTTTGATGCTTAAGTAGATAAAAATACATTTCTGCAACTTTTCAATTCATGAACAATCCTCCTCCCCACACCCCTATCCAGAAATTTGTGAAAACAAACACGTAGTTCAGCGAAGACTCTTTTCAGTGAATTGTTTTTCTTTAGCTTTACAACTTTCGTAGACGAATTCATCGATAAGGGAACTTTTCTTCACTGACCAATTATCCATCGTTCTCTTTATGACTACTTTTTAACACCGGTTAAACTAAATCTGTCACAATTATTATTCGCTTCTTTTTTAGTTATGTTGATTGAAAATTCGATTACATAATAAAGGTAGTTATATTTCACCAATTGTGAATGCTTTCTTGGTTTCGCCTAGTTCTGTCTAATCACCTTTTTAAGTACGTAATTACAAGCCAATCTGATATTTCTACGAATGGTTGGATAAGCAAAAGGAATTACCAATCAACATTTCCCTTCTCGATTGATATGTTTGATAAGACTTAATCTATTTAATTCCCTGTCACTATAAACTATTAAAAGCAAACTAATAACACCTGTTGTTCATAAGATGTGCGGAGTTCCGTGTTAAATGGTTAGAGGCAGTTGACAGGCAATTTTGTCGACTACTTCCAACCGCTGAACACTGTTTGAAGAATACCGTAGTGGCTAGTCACATTAGCCAAGACACAAAAGGCTAGAAACATGACATTTGGTTAATTATTCCCTGGTGATCGATTAGTGAAATTAATTCACCAATATTGGTCAGTAAAGAGACACTTCTAACCTCTGAAGCTGTATGCATGACTTCTTTTATGTTCATATTTGTACATCAATAAAACTCTTGAACCGTCAGTGTTACTATTTCATACACCATTTTATTATCTCTTTCTCTTTTTTTCTTCTTTGTTTTCTATTCAACAGGATTCAGTGATGTTTTAACTTCGTTACATAAATTAACTGAACTTAAATTCAATTTGCCTTATGATTTTAGTATACGTCATTTGAAAGATATTCACGATGCCTTCTAGACGTGTTTCTAAATTTAGTCTGTATTAATTCAATGAAATTTACTATTCATATTGTTAGGCAATAACAACAAAAACAGCGACTGCTTCTACTACTTTTCGGTGTTCAGTGATCATTTATGGTAATGATAATAATAATAATAATAGTGGTAATATGCATTTGTTTCATTGTATTCGTTTTTGGTCTGTGTTATGTTATCTATCTTGCAAATGAATATAATTCATCCTAATTTTGAAAATATCATTCCCTCTAAATTGATTTACCTACCACCTTGTATCATGTAAATTTTGGACTTTATTATTTTCATTCCATTTCAATTATCAACTTAACTCTGTTCCACCTGTTGTGAGTAGTGCTATGCATGTGCTTTCTTGTCTGTTTTCTCTGTGTGTGTTTGTGTAAAGTAATCTGATGAATCATATTATAAATTAACATGTGTCGTTGTTGTTGTTATTTGGGTTTTCCGATTATCGTTTCTGCTGAAAAAGTAAAAGAACAAACAGCATTTTCGATTGATTACATAAGTGTACTGTCAAATAAGATATTTTTGTGAATTACTCCTCGCTAAAATTTCATATTTTCGAAAGAAATAAAGATAATAACCATTCGTGTTTATTTTGTAATATAAATCTAATTCGATTCTTTTGTTTTGTTTTCTATCAAAAAGAAAATTTTTCAGCGGTATTCGAAAAAAATTGATCAAGGTTTAAACAAATCACTAGTTAACAGTACAATTCTCAAAAGCTAAAACTTATAATCATCTTTCTTCACTGTAAACTGAACCAACAGCAACGATCATTTGTGTAGTGAATGTACTTTCTGTGACTAGTTCACATTTCAAACAAATAATATTAAAGTATCGATTTGTAGGGATTTGATTGATTGGTTACAGGATTTCATAATGAGTTGACATCGGTTAGAGAACCATTGTGAAATCTGGGAGTATTGGAGAGCTGATTTGTCTTAGTTCAGGAGTCTTCATCAGTACTAGGACGAAACAGATGTCCAGTACTCCCAGGTTTCCCACTGGTTCTCTAACCGATGTCAGCTTATGATGCAATCCTGTAACCAAATAAAGCTAACTTTCTCGGTATGTTCTGTATATCTGAAGAGATTAACTGCAAAATTTTCATTATCCTTCTGGAAAACATCTTCAGCTCTTACTTCTATGTGAAGTGAGCGTTTAACATTCTCTGGATAACCCTGACTGAAGGCAACCAATTACAGCGAAAATAAATACCAGTCAAAAAAAATCCTGAGTAAAATCAATTTGCTTAGAGTAAGTATCTCTTGACATGTAGAAATGCAGATAGTCTTATTATTATAAGAAAACCTTTTAAGGTAATAATGAAACTTACTTACTCTGAAGGAGAAATTATTTTCTATCATTTCTATTGCTATGGTGAAAACGGAGCGATTCTGTCCGGAGATCAGTATACAAAGACCAAAATAGATTCGAAAACTTACTAACTTTCAAAGCTGTATTCCATTTATTATTTAAAAAATCTTGCATATGTGATATATTCACTGATATTTGTCAGGTTATATGCAATCAGTTGAGAAAAAAAGATGAGTGAATACGATTTGATAACTATGAAAATGAAGTAGTCTCAAAGTGAGGATTCTCTTATCTGAGATTTTTGTTTATTTACCACGTCCTACAACAGCATAGCATAACAGATTACATCTGTAAACAGTATATTCAACCATCGATGTGTACAGCAGTGTATCTTATCGCCATATGGAGCACAATTTGAAGGGAACTTAAAAAATAAAACTTTCTGACTGTTATCCCACCAGAACTGATACAATTTTCATGATAAGTGAGATGATTAACACACTCAAACGTTGCATTTATTGCACAGGGGGTCATTAATAACAATTAATAAGGATAAAACAACTTTTGATGGAAATAAAACATGCAACATATAGTAGTAATGGATGTACTGAACACTTTTGAAGCGATCAGTAGATTCTTTACACTACGCATTTCCCATTTAGCAGTCCTACAGAGCAAATCTTTTGTATGATTTTATTTTTCAAGTTGTTAATACTTTTTGGTAAGGTTTCGTCACGAACTGATATCAGTTAGAACATTATTGAAAGTCAAGAAGTACTAGGCGCCTGTTTTATGATGAAATTTAAATACATCCAATCCCCCTACAAACCAACACTTGAAAATGAATTCACCGCACATTAGTAACTTCTTGGTGTTCATGAAGTCGAATACTCGCTAACGGTACTGGTTGGCATTCAAGCTATGTGTAATACAGAAGTTAGAATTCATGCACCACTGAATTCCATCTCTGACTGAATGGTCAATAGGTTGACCTCCTAACTCGAACGGTCAAGGTTCCATCCACAAGGGCACACTACCGAGGAGTATTAGAGTGGGAAAAAATAGCTGTCCATTATTCCCTGAACTTTTAACTGATACAGCATAGTGAAGAAATCCAACTTGCACTAAGTCTCTGCAATAACCCAACATTTGAGAATGACGCATGTGACACAATAAATATATTGGTTTCCAATTGTTTGGTTCCAAGTTTGATCACAAATCGAATTCAGTAAGAGAACCACTGAAAACCAGGGAGTACGCCCTTTTTTGGAATTCTTCATCGGCGTACACCTGTATTCCCTAGTGGGAAGTCGTAACGAAAGGATTCCACAAAGTTGGGTGCCAAAACAGATGCTCAGCGATGACATTGGCTGGTGGTAGCGCTATATATATCACGAACTAACAGGATTCTATCCCAGTGGCAGAATGACAAGCATCGCAACCTCTAAAGCTCTGGGTTCGATGGCAGAAGGAGTAATGGGTGCCTACCGCCGTATAGTCTTAAACAAGGACCAAAAAGATGTCCAGCATTTTATGGTTCTTCAATTTAAGTCAGTTCGTGATCACACGTGAAAATATATCGGTGTCTTTTCTCCTTATAATCAATGTAAAAATAAGGTACTGCTCCACATATAAAACAATAATAATAATAACAACTGTATTTCATATTAAACAATTGAAAAAGGGAGATTAGTACAATTGTAATGTATACACATAGTATATTGTTGTATAATTCGAAGGCAATGTAAGTTACAAAAAAGGTGTAGAGGAAAAAACTTATAAAATGTTGGGTTACCAACTCTCCTCAATCAATAATTTTTGTTTTCTTCTATGATATACACTATAATATTGAATAATGTTAGTTATATTTTGTACTGAATAGAATTTCGCTCCTGCCTGTAATTTAATGTTATGATAACTTCATGAACCAAATTATTATCTCCCGTCTAATGCTGTATTGAAAAAGCATAATACATACATTGAAAAAGTGTATTGATGACATCAACTCTCTTTCTGTCTCTCTCTGTCTAAGGCACATGAGCAAGCACACACATACACATGCATAATACGACATTATACATGAATAAATATAAAGATTAGATCTGTTTTTATTTTCAAAGGCTGAAATATATGAAATCATGAAAAAAGAAGACCAATTAATTATACAATCAGATTGCGTATTCGAAGGAAGTTCAACAGACAAGTGCATAGTGTAATAATAATAATAACAATATAGAAAATATATAAAAAAGAAATTAGACAAATCATAACAGGCGTACACGGTATTCGTGTATGTATATATTCAAAAGAAAAAAATGGAATCAGGAAAAGAAATCTTGGCGCAATAAGGCTAATACCTTTAAAATCAATAACAATAATAATAAGGTCATATGTTAAAGGAGAAAATTCTATGAGTACAAGAAGAGGGGGGCGGGAGGTTTAAACTTGCAAAAATAAATACTGAAAGAAAGCAGGATGTTCTAGGTAATATTATTACTATTATTATTATTGCCACTGATGATGCTGTTATTCTGGAAGTGATCAGATAGAAGTGTGGAGGTGACCTGGAGTAGGGAAGGGAGACGGACAGGCAGAGATTCAGTACAAAATTTCATAATAATCTGTCACCAAGACTTAACTAGATCCTTCAAATGCTTTCACCAGATCCATCACACGTGAAACACGATTCTCAGGTTTTGGTTTAGTCTGCAAACAGTAAAGAGGAAAACAAAACGACAGCGCTTAGTGAATCGGAAATATCCAATGCATATATATATATATGCTTATGAAGTGAAAAAAATAAATACTCCACAGTTTTGCTGGCAATTATGCACACACATACGAACAAGCATTTTTATTGCCTAACGTAATTTCATTTATGCTTCCATAGTTGGATACCTCTATACGCAATCAAATAAGGTTTTTAAAAACAGGGGAAACAGTGTAAGTGTCTTTATACACTTTGTTGATTTTGATTTTTTTTATGGCAGTAAGATAATAGAAGTGAATTATAAGTCACGCTTTATCCGAGCCAGTAAAGATATCTTGATCATAATAATAAACTGAGAGTATCATGCAATGGATGGTGGTGATCATAAATCACAAAAATGCAAGTTATTCACCCCCAATCAAAATAAAGTGATAAATCATATCCACTCACTCGTTGTGTGGCACGCTAATTCGGCAAATTTATACATATGCTATGATTACACTTCTTTTCTTGTTTATTACTTGAATTTTAGGGTATGCAAAGTTGATTATAAAAAGGCAAGATTAAAACTAACATATGTAATTCTTAAAGAAGGATGGAAGGAAGAAGAAATATATTAGTTCACGTTACCACACTCCATACAGTGCACAAAAGTAGACAATGGCCAGAAGAAAAGAGACTCAAAGGAAATATAGTGAGCAGTAATATGCAAGAGAAAGAATAGTAACATGGAGGAAAAGAAAATTGAGGGTTTAAACGATATGGGCGATCACAAAGAATGAATCCACCTGAGTTACTGACAACGATTTTAAGCCATATCACTAATAATCTGAAGCCAGTGGATTTTGGAATCCCCAGCAACCCAAAATGGCCACCTACACCTCCCTCTATGACACTCAAACCAACTGTCAAAGACTTAATGAAAAGTTCTGGTCCGACCACTTATAACTCTTTTTTCTATACCAACCAAGTGTCATCTAACTTTCTCCATCGAGAAAGGCTAGGGTGAATTATCTCGAGTAGGATTCAAATCTCAGACGTATTGGCTGTAAATCGATTGCTTAAACAAATGATCAACATCTCCGTGAAGGAAGAAATGAACTCGAAAAAAAAGTTTTTTTATAGACTGAGGAATGTTTTGATTAACCAGTATCGCAGAAAACAAAATCCATGTTTAGGATACCAAAAAATAAATAAACTAAAAATAAATGTAGGTTTTCCTTTGAAGATTACTTTCTTTATTTTTTGGTTATAGCTTGATTTCACACCATATTTTTGGTACAAGCATGGAATTTTCAGCATGTGATATCGGTAGCCCAAAATCTCCAGACCGACCATGGATATCAAGTGTGGGTCGGCAGGCGATCGAACCCCCGACCATTTGGATGGTTGGCGAGAGTCCTAACCTCTGTGCTACCGACGCTTCATCATATCGTATTAGTGAATAGTGATTATTATGAATAACTACCATATACTGCTCTAATCATAATAGTATGGGTAATAGAGCTTTCACATATTTTGATTTGACACTAGTAACTACTGTGATACGTCTAGTCCTCTGATTGGTGTAGACTCAATTCCATCAGTCATGTCCAAGGCTTCCTGCCGATTGCCTCCAACCATCTAATACCATCAGAGCTTTCACATATTAATGTAGTCTCTATGTCGACGAATGCTCAAAGGACACGCACGCATGTCCCCCTGAAAATGCACCCTACCACTTAAGCGCTATCTAATTAATCACTATATATATATATATATATATATATATATATATATATATATCCTATGTTTGTTCATGAGGTTAGTTTTTAGTTCACTGATAGGCATTACTCAAAACTGCATAATAATCACCTATAAATTAAAGTTGTGTCTATAATACTTACGTACTACATTTACGCAGGCGAACGCACAAATAATCATAAGTATAAAGAGAAGAAACAATAAGCATGCATAGTACTTCATCATCTTTATATTCATATTTCGTTAATACCAGCATACATGATTATAAAGGTTTCAAATGGAGAATCACATGCAGTGCCATAAAAGAACTAACCCACTTACTAAACACACATTATCACCTGGGTTTTTTGACATACTGGTATGCAAATCGTACATAAAACTTGAGAAATTCAAAAATGTACATGCAAAACTAATATGTGTAACAAATACGCCAGAATTTAATGTCTGTGTCCATTCTAATACATGTAATGTGCTTAAAATGTAAATTTATAAAAAAGGTGAGTCCTATCAGCATCATCATCATAAAATATAAATATTTGAAATTATCTTTAAAACAAAAGTGTCTATTAAGTTCAGATGGATTTTTGGTTGCCTAGATCAACTAACGAATCACGAAAGAATACCAGGTTCGATTGCCAACCAACGTATGCCTAAATCCTGACTAGCCGATAGTAAACCCAGGAAGAGAAAAGGAAGATTCACCGTGTGGTCAGCAACATCATCGTTACTAAAAAACTTCAAAAGCTTGAAGCCTTATTTTCCACTTGGATTGCGAGGAAAGAAACAAAAAAAAGTCAACGACAACAACTGGAATATTACTAGAAATTGAGATGCGCTGAACAACTGTTTCTTTCAACGTGGAAAATATTGTTACGAATGAGCTATTCATGCTCAAGATTGACCTACTACAGGACTGTAATGGATACATTGATTGGATATTAGACAGACTGATGGAATTCAGTCTACACCGAACGAAGGCCTAGACGCATTACATTAGCTACTACTTAATATCTAATCAAAGGATCTCTGTATAATGAAATGGCAAGAGTTAGGATTCATGTGCTACAGAATTATGTTCAAGTAGTAGAATGGTGAACAAGTTCGCCTTGTAACTTGAAGATCTTTGAGTTCGATACTTCATGGAGTCATGTACACGTACAGCTGAACAATCCAAGACAAGGACGAAATACAGGTTAAATACTCTCCGACTTTTAATAGTTCTCTAGCTAACGTCACTGCGTGGTGAAACCAATCAAATCCCTACAAACACAACACTTAAATAATCATAGAATAAAATGAGGGAGACAATGGAAGAGAGGGAAACTCTAGTCGTTTATGTTAGGTAGTAATTTACTGGTCAAAACAATCAATTTGATCTTCACCTTATCTTAATCCACTAAACCTTAGTAATATATGTCCTGAACATCATAAAAACACTACATATGTGTATAAGATATACATGAACTTTACCAAGATGAATTAACCGCTGAGTAATTTAATTATCTTGATGCAGGTGATAAGGAATATTAGCAAATAAACTAAGGCCATAGGTTCATCTACCTTCTAATCGGTTCACAATTTGAAAATAAATGCACACTATTCATTCATTTGTTCGAATAAAACGTTAGAAAAACTGAATTAAATAGTTGTGTTCATTTGCGCTAATTTACTAATTTCCCATTAATTTGTTTCAATTATTGACAACAACGATAGACTGACATCACAAAAAATTCCCATACAGCAGAGGATGTGAAAATTGGTTGGTTACAACTCAGTAAACTGGACCATGTTTTTCACATGCCAGGCTATGAGCCACGAATATTGTGTGCGGGGGGATGACTATAGTACCATCTAGTTGTTCAGGTTGAAGTAGGTGGGCTAGGACTCTAACAAACGACCTATTAGTCGAAGGTTAATTTATTAAACTAATATGCGACACCCTCACTGGATGGGATAGACAATTTGGACAAAAATCTAGCATTTTCTGTCATCACATTTCATTCCTAATATTCTGATAAAGGCATAAAAAAAAAGAAAAACAACTTGAAAATGTACCAACGTTCTCAATGACTAATTCTTGCTTCATTTTATCTATCGAATTATTGAATGCTTGATCAACTTTCTGTTTTGAATATGAAAATGTAGCTTACTGAAGGTAGAACTAAACTTTCAGTATATCAGTATTAGGTTAGGAACTCTATTGCAGACTTTCACTAGTTTAGTTAATCAGAAACTTCATATTAGACAACACAACTTATTACGTCAACATGATGAAGAGACTTATAAAGAGATATTCAAAACCTCCTACATTCTATTTTTCCAAAATATTCAGTCATGTGATAAACATTACGTTGTTATGATAAAATAGATGCGAAAGCCTACGACTGATATCATTTATTGGTTTCATGTTTACTGTCGATTGTTATCCTTTCGTGATCAAGACGGATTGATTATATTAAGGATAGACACACCTGAAAAACAGAATAGTTTCATCTCTTCCAATCTGCTCCTATTGTGAGCGTACGTACTGAGTAAGTCGATAGGTATTTCAAGATGTTGAAATCAATAACAAAGATGTACATAGTGAACACCTGAAAATGTATTACTTCATGAAGATACTTAAGGCCCCCCTAGATTCATATTTGACATAACCTATTCATTTTTCAAGAATTGGTTTGTACGGATGGTACTTGTTTCAGGTTATACCACGGGTCGATATCATTTAGAGACCAATTGAAAACCAGGGAGTAATGGGCAGCTATTTCATCCTAGTCTGGGACTCATCACGATTACGCACCCACTGGGTTTTTAATCCAGGACCTTCATGAATTGTTAAAAGTTAGAATTCATGGGCCATTGAGTCGGTTCACAGTGGTTAAGTGATGTACGAGCATGCTCTGGGTTCGAAACCCAATGGGTGCGTACTGATGATGCGTCTCAAATTAGGATGAAACAGTTGTCCAGTACTCCCTGGTTTTCAATGGTTCTCTAACTGATACCAGCCCGTTGTCTAACCCGAAATAACCTATTCACTCAAACATCAAAGCAACAAGAACTGAATAATGCACCCAAATGATCTCACAAGAAGTGGTAAAGATGAGGCTCAATGGCTTAAATATTACCGGACTTTCGGACAATAGGTCACAGGTCCTAGTTCCGCTTACTCACGTTTGTTCAGGCAACTGAGTATTGTCGTTAAATGTCACATAGTAAGTGTTGCTCATATTTTGTTCAGGGAACCAAGCTCTAACAAACCTACAAGAAATTAGTCGTATCTTCGATAACCTTGTTATATATTTCCTGTGTCAAGCAGTGATTCACGTGGTTCCTAATCTCAGAAAGAGAAACAGGATAATTCTTCTCAATTCAAACATGCGACATAATTCCACCATTATTAAGGATAAGAGGGAAATAAGGACACGACTTCACCTAACTCCATTTTGTCCTGCTTGGAATTTATCAGCTGCACGTGCCTGGATCCCAAGTGAGTGATAGTGTTCCCACCGAGACCCGACACCCACTATTTAAAACTCTCATGGCTATGCGGAAAAGACTTTGATGTTAGAAACTGGAGTCGAGTCTCAGTAGGAACACCATTACTTAGTGGGAATGCAGATACATCCATCTGACTAGTTCCGAATAGGACGAAAAACGTGTCCTGGATTAAACCATCGGTAACCATCAACCAACAGGATGAAAATCATTATAAGAAAGATCATGTCATGCAAATAAATCAAATCACTTAAAAGATTCACCAAACAATTATGCATAACTGAATGTTTTGAAAAAAAAATTTTAAACCCCAATCACAGAGATTGTTTACTATAATTATTCATGAAAAACTCAGTCGCAGAAAGGAAGAATCATATCAGTAAGGACAATCAAATAATGCATGATACAAGCACATATCCCCAAGGTACACAAACACACACACACATTTGCTAGATTCTGAAGTGCCATGATGCAAAGAAACAAAAATAATAATAAATCAAAACACCTTGAGTTTCTTTCCACTTCTCTAAAGAGCTCATCATTGCTAAAGAACTTACGTTTATCAGTATCATTGGTTAACTGTGTTTTTGATGTACACAGCATAATGCATACATTAGTTTTAAAAACAAGAGAAAGGATAACAGTGAAAAAAGGTTAATATTTAATTTAACGACTGTGCTTTGTTTTATTATCCCCGTTAAACAATTTCAAGAAAACAAAAACATATCCTGAGAACAACATCGCATATGTTTGTCAACAGCTGGCTTTATAATGAAAATTACATGGCCAAAAAGGATTAGCAAGAAGGGACTCCGGCAATGAAATAACCAAAAACCTATTGCCTAATATATATGCTGAAGGAAATGAAGGTGGACTGAATACACGCTGGCAGGACAGCTGAATAAATGACATCACGTGCCAGACAGACACTCCAGTGGGATGTGAATGGAAAAAGACGAGTTGGGCGTCCGCATGTGATACGGAGATGGTGTGAAGAGGAGTTGAAAGTTTATGGGCAATAAGGGAGTCAGGTAAAGAAGACTGCAGAGAACAGGTTGAATTAGAGATGTGCTGCTGAAGTCCTATGTTCCAAAAATAACCTGAGGAAATAGTATACCACTTAAAGCTTGTCTGCTCAGTCTAATTAAGTACACTTCATAGAAGCCACTAGATTTCCCTTCAACGTCGTATTACAAAAGCTTACTTCTTGAAGTACTCTTTTCTGTATACGTGATTATATTGTACGCATTAGTTGGAATGAAAATATAATGTAGACTGAAGGATACTTGATACAACTAAGAACCACTACTGAGTTGCTGTTAAAATTTTCTAAATACGTTAGGTCTTTAAAGGAAATTGAAACAAATGATGAGATTAGAGGATGAAATCACGCTAGTAACCATTTCATAGGGTCGTTGACAAATGTAACCTGTTATCATATACATTTTAGTTCTACGCACAGTGTTGTCTATGTTTGCATATGTATATATATAACATTCGGTTTAACCCTAGTGATAAATCAGAGTGTTTTTGATGTGTTTGCGTTCTCTGAGCTGGATAGTTAATTCGCGAAGCATTCATCGCCCTGCTAGACGACATCTTCGGCGCATACTTCATGTCGCCTAGTAGGGCGATGAAAGCCTCGCAAATAAACTATCCAGATCAGAGAACACAAACACATCAAAATCATCCACCTGAACTACAAATCTTCTCCATCATATCTAAATCAGAGTGTCCATTACAGTGGTATAGGGGGTCAGTTCTGAACCCAAATAGCTGACTGGTGACGTCCCTTCACTATTTGGTGATCAGGAGAGACGGCTTTTCTACGAGTTTGTCGAGACGTCTCGCTGATGAGTGCCAACAAACACGAAACCGAGGTCGAAAACGGCTTTCTGAAGGCTGCATCTAACCACCTAACATCAATTAAGAGTCCACCGCTATGACAAGCCACTTAGGTTGGTGATCACACTGCAAACTTGACTGATAGAATTCAGCCTGCATGAACACCAAGAACTAGAAGTACGACATTGGTTACTCCATTGTAACTAATCGATATATATATATATATATGTCACAGATTACCACTATTCAGACACTTAAAGGTATCTAGATTCAATCACGCACTGCAAAATTTATGTGCATATGAAGTGCTACAGCAAACATATGTGTGCATAAATTATGTAAAAAAAAAATCTGTACGAACAAGTTTGAACAAATAGAAATGGTTTCTGAATGCTCAGTATTAAAAAAATCCACCATAGTATCGTAATTGGGTGATAACATAAACACAGTTCACAAGTGATAAGTGAGAATCTGAAAAGCTAAAAATACAGTGACTTGGAGTTGCTTTCCATATAAAAAGGGGTTTATTATTTTGTCAATAGAGGTTAGCACTATAATCCAAGATACGGGTTTCACCATACATGGGACGACTCATCATCTAGATGATGGTCGGGGGTGAGTGCCTTGCGCTACGGGTTGGCCACCCCTCCGTACACCTCTTGAAATGCTCCCATATGACCGGGCGTCTTACATAGCCTCTCCTGAGGAAGTCCTACTCACTGCCTTCACGTGGCGGAGGTGTTTTTCACCGAAGTGAGAGGGCAAAAGCGGATGACCGGCGCTCTTCACCGGGTTGACTGTCCAATGGATGACAGTCTAGGGGAGATGGCTAAACCCTGATTCCAAACATCCAACGACTGGCGTATGAAGCTCACCGGAGCTCCCCGGCAGACGTATGGACAAAGGGCTTATTGGATGCCCTGGATGTCTGGCCCCATTCTAAAAGGCGTATGAACCGGACTCCGGTCACCGGCTTCCAATGGATAGTGGACTCCCTACTCCACTCCTACTGCCTTGTAGGTCACACTTGGTTGTGTAAAGGCTAGAGCTGCACTCTCAAACAAAAGGCCGAGCGATGGTGGGGACATCACTCGTACCTAATTCCCATGAAACTTCATGAACTCTCTACAACATCAACCAAATTCCAGTACTGGTCCAACAACGTCGCCTTCGGTGGTTTGGCCATGTTCTGCGCCGACCAGAAGACGACCTGGTCAAATCAGTTCTAAATCCCTCGCTATTTCCATCTTGGCGATGTCGCAGGGTGGACAGCTGAAAACATGGCTTGGGACAGTCAAGGCTGATATGGAGTGCATGGGGCTACAAACCGTCTACGGACTCCGTCTGTGGAACAAGAATTGGATAACCCTGTCGCAAAACATTGCATCAGATCGCCGCGCCTGGACAGCGATGATTCGAGATGTTCATGGGGCCGGCTCATCCTCCCGTAGGAGATAGCCGAAGTAAAGTAAAGTAAGTAGATGAATTGTGAGAAGCGATGAATCCTGAACATGATACTCAATGCTTTAAAAGCCTATGAGTTATTCACTATGTTGGCTGGAGAGCTGTGATTGGTTATGTTTTATTTATACTTATTGTTTCTTAAGACTGATCAATTCTATCAAAAAAAATGAAAACACGAAAACAAGTCGTCATGTGATCTAGTACAGTCATCCGCACACACAAACCCACACACACACACACACATACACACACAGAGGGAGTTGATTAAATTCAACCTACAAAATAAATCATTCTTATAAATAAAATCATGCAGCAGTAAACTGCACTGTATTTGTTGCTGATGAGACGCAATTAGTTAGGTGGTAATACACTTACAAATTTGAAGAAACCAAGTGAGATTAGAAATTACATTTATCTTCTCAAGAAAATAATATATAGCCTGGAGTGAAGTAAAGTTGCGTATAATAATCTAATTAGCAAAAATCAAATTATTTTTAGGGAAACCAAGCTACCCATTTCCGTTAATCATCATAATCAGGTTTTGTAACATGCCCACGGTGATTAAGATATATCTACCACGTCTCCCTACCATTTATGCAGAATGAAGAAATATCATAGCATAGTTAAAGTGCCACTGTTGTTTCAACTTAATTACACGGAAAGGATACCAGGTTATGGACGAGACTTATTATTACATGAGGGATAATCATACTATATTATTTGTCCAGGTTGAAGTAAGTAGGACGGAAATTGTACCCACGACCTGCTGACTGTAAGCCGAATGCTTAAGCCAATGTAATACATTTCGCAAATTGAAGCACCCAGTCAGTGAGTCAGCTTCCACATAGTATAGAACTAGGTAACAAATAATTAGGACAGATATTGTGCAAGGAGAGAACAACTGCTTAGAAGCAGATATCGGCAACTACAGACAATGCTATCGGTTACTAATTTAATGGCTCAACTAAGGTAATTAAAGAACAAGCTGCAGGCAAAGGAGACCTCGCCACACTCTACCAAACAACTAGGAACCTTTCGGGCAAACGTTCGACACAGATTAAGCCAATAAAGGACGACAATGGAAAGTCAATCACCAAAGAGGTGGAACAGAGAAAGCACTGGGTTGAACACTTCAAAAGACTTCTAAATCGTCCGCCACCTACAACACGTCCAGCAATACCAACAACGGAAGCAGAACTACCAGTGAACACTGACCCCCCGACGAAATCAGAAGTCCTGAATGCAATCAAGATGCTTAAAGCTGGGAAAACACCGGGACCAGATGGAATCCCAGCAGAAGCTTTGAAAATAGACCCAGAGACAACAGCGGACTTGATGACACCACTGCTGGAGAAGGTGTGGAAAGAGGGCAAAGTACCCGAGGATTGGAAGAACGGATACTTATTCAAACTTCCAAAGAAAGGAGACTTAAGTCAATGTAAAAACTGGCGTGGAATTATGCTTCTGTCCATTCCAAGCAAGATACTAAGTCGCATCATCCTGGAGAGAATCAAACAAGCCCTAGATGAAAAACTTCGTCCGGAACAGGCTGGATTCAGGAGAAACAAATCATGTATTGATCAAATCGCCACTCTACGGATCATCATTGAACAAAGCTTGGAATGGCAGTCACCTCTCTATCTCAACTTCATCGACTTTGAAAAGGCCTTCGACAGCGTCGATCGAGAGGTCATTTGGAAACTACTTCGCTACTACGGGGTCCCATCGACAATTATACACCTCATCCAACAGTTATACGACAATGCTGCATGCCAAGTAATCCACAACGGGAAACTTACGGAAGCCTTCGAAGTGAGGACGGGAGTGAGGCAAGGCTGTCTACTATCACCAATGATCTTCCTGATTGCAATTGATTGGATAATGCGACAGACAACGGCAACCAACGAGGGAACAGGCATAAAATGGACTGACACAAAAGACTTGGAGGATCTGGATTTCGCCGATGATATATGTCTGATTTCCCATAAACTGGAAGATATGCAAGTGAAAAGTAACAAGTTGGCAGAAGAAGCATCAAAGATAGGACTTCACGTGAACATAGATAAAACAGAGATGATGAAGATTCCTAGCCAACATCAACAGCAACAACAACAACAACAACAGACAACAATCAGCATAAATGGGAAGAACCTGAAAGAAACAACCTCCTTCACCTACCTGGGAAGCATCGTCTCAACTACAGGCGGAACTGACGAGGACATCAAAGCCAGAATCGGAAAAGCAAGACAAGCTTTCATTACTCTCAAATCTGTGTGGAGGTCAACAGCACTCAGCATCAAAAATAAGATCCGGATTTTCAACTCCAATGTGAAGTCAGTGCTACTATACGGATCAGAGACTTGGCGAGTCATAAAGAGCATCTCAAACAAACTTCAAACCTTCATTAACAACTGTCTCCGCTCAATACTCAAGATCAGATGGCCAGAAAAGATCAGCAACAGGGATCTCTGGGAGCGAACCAATCAGGAACCGATTGTGAAACAAATAGGCAGAAAGAAATGGAGATGGATTGGCCATACGCTGAGGAAACCATCAAGTGACATCACTAGACAAGCCCTCGAGTGGAACCCGAAAGGGAGGCGGCGAGTTGGTCGTCCAAGGGTGACTTGGAGGAGGTCATGCGAGGAGGAGATGAAAGCATGTGGACAGACCTGGAGCAGGGTGAAAAAGTTGTCAGAAAACCGAAGTCAATGGAGGTGCGCAGCTGAAGCCCTATGTTCCTCTAGGAACTAAAGGATACAATAATAATAATAAGGTAATTAAATATAACTTCAACGGGATTAAACGCTTCCCATAAACAGATATTCATCCACGACTTATATACTAGAGAATATCTTCTACAACAAAAAGACGAATGAGATAAAGAAATCCAATGGGTTCTTCCACGACACACTTGAACCACAGTTTTCCGTTAAGACATTTCCTAAAGCTGTGTAGATTCTGTGTTAACCAAAGTACAATTCTAAGCTACAAAAAGACAACATCATGATGTAACACCGACTAATTAGTGAATCTATTAACTAGATAACTCTTACTTTAGGTACTTCATTCGTCTAAAGATAACCTCACCCATAAGTTATAATTCATTAGCTTGTCGATATAAGAATAAAACTTGTGCACTGTGGTAGAGTATAATTCTATTATGGGTAAATTTTTGTCTTGATAATGTCTCACAGTGTTATACAGTAATGTATCAGTAAACATTACTGTATAACACTGTGAGACTTTATCAAAACAAAAAATTTACCCATAATGGAGTCATTAGCTGGTCACCCAACGATTAACTTTCTAAATCACTTAAGACAGTGAGTTTTAAACGAATTGGTGAATATTTATCACGAGCCTTTATGCTAACCAGTCATCCTCCATCATAACAATAGAAACTGCATTCTGAGATTATATATATATATATATATATATATATATATATATATATATATATATATATATAAATCAACATACCTGAATATTTTCATTATGCTTTCGGAGAGTTATCGGTTGTGGACTTGGACTACGTGAATATTTATTGCCAGTTGTTTGAATATCCAATAGGATAGGTTTCTTTGTATTAGGCAAGGGAGAATTATTAACACTTTTCTTCATATCATCAGATTCATTATCAGCGTTTTCTGCTACAACTGATTTACACGGAATGAATACAAGTGATGGTGTTAAATCAGCAGCAGAAGAAGAATCCGGCGATAGGTTCTCATTATCTTTGTTATCATCACTGTGATGATGATTATCTACTTCATTATTAGTCACAGGTTTTAATCTGGCAAGTATCTGTGGCAGTTCAATTTCCACAACACCACCACCCCCACTGCTACTGCCACCAGATGGAATGAACATAGAATGTGGACGAACATGTTGACTATCATTATTAGTTAAACGATTACACTGCAACGATGACGGGGTTTTATTATCTGACTCATTGAATGAATTTAATTTGATTCTTTCAAAGCCTAAAGATTTTCTTGGTGGTTTTATAGGTGTTGGTGTGATTTGATCTAAGTCAGCTGTATAATCCAGAGGTATGAAAGACTCTGAGCCTCGTTTTAAGGAATCAGATTTATGGGAGGATTGAACACTAAAATTATTTGAACAGAAAAAAAAAGAAACAAGACTAATTAATGACAGTAATTTCAATTGATTACAATAACTAATATCAATCTAAAGCTATTTATGGTATGGCGAATTCAGCGAAGAACGATCTGAGTTTTGATGAATTAATATGCCATCAAACAATAAATTTATTCGATACAAGCACACAGTAATACAGAATTGCTTACCTATGATATTTAGAGCACCATTTTTTACGCATAATCATACCAGGGCAGTCACGTAAGTTCCAAACTTGGTTTACATAACCCCATTATTTCTTATTATTTGATATTACTGATAATTGATTATATTTTCCGTATCTCTGGTAATGGTATTGTATTATTCCTGTTGCCCGCGTTAAGTGCAGACCTAATGAACAAACAGCGACCACTAACTTCTTCCCCTACCTATCCATACATTGCGTTTTAGAACTGCAGGTGTGTCCCACTTTATTGTGTACTTGTGTGTTAATGCGGGTATTGCGATTGCTGACTCTTTCTTCAAAGTATTCATCCTCAGGGAGTCAACCATTGTACACTTAGATAAATTCTTATGTTCTGATAATCTGACCGGCCTCGACCAACTGGTCTGACCTATATAGTTAACTTCATTGTCACTATATGGTATTTTCTAGATTACATTATTTTGTCCACTTGTGTCTATAGAGTTCTTTAACAGCAACACCAAAGATCTAAGAAATATTACTACCATCAAAATTAAAGGATAAGAAATAATGGAACTATGTAAACAAAGTTTGCAAGTTGTGTGAGTACCTTGATATGACCATAAGCAATAAATTGTGCTCGAAACACGTCATCAGTAAATAACAGTGTATCTCTAGAAACCTTTATCAAACAAATTTATTCTATGGTGGAATTATACTCTGCCACAGTGCCCAAGTTCTATCCTCATCTGAATACATAAATATGTTTAAATTGTTTCCTGAAAAGCAAGATAATTTGACTACGAAAGTTCAATAATGGACTGAGAACTTTTAACCTAGTTGGGAAATCTAGTATCAACCTTATTACCCTCCAACCAACGCTAAACTCGTCAATCGCTTCATTTTCGGGTTCCATTCAATGGCCATATCGGCGCATGACATCCCTCAGCGGTTTCCTCAGCGTGTGCCTAGTCCATCTCCCTTTCCATATGAATATTTGTTGGGCGACAGGATCTTGGTTACTAGAGTTTCTTGGTGCTTATACTTCCCACCTAGCCATGTAATCTCCAGTATGCAGGGAAGACAGATGTTGATAAAAGTTTGCAGAAGGCTTTTATCGATGCGTCAAGTGTTTGAAGCGTACTGAAGCACTGTATTGACATTAATGTTAGAAATCCGAATATTCTTCCGTATGCTGATTGTAGCAGATTTCCATACTGATTTCCAGACATTCTTACTTCCTTTTTGTAAAATCATCAGATGAAGGATCGATTAGAAATACAAAAGGTTTTCTTTTCTTTTTATTTCATTAATCGTCTTCCTTGTTGCTAACGCCTCGAATGCTTTAAATTTATCAACACTTCAAACAAGTACGTGATTGATTAGGTTAGAATGCTGAAATTTCGCACCCCGTAAAAATAATAATAGGATCTTATTGAAACTGTAGTAAATAAACAATGCTAACTAGAGTTAAGTTTGAAACAGTTAATCACTGATTTTTTTGGCTTTCCCTTGCAGTTTTTCGAGTGATACAATTTATTCATTGAAGAAAAACTTACACCACTATTTGTTCCACTACCCGTTCAACCTAATGTGACATAATTATGCAGAAAACTTGAAATATTTTTCTAGGCCTACAGATGCAACGTGTATGATGCTACTGCTAAAAAGTGATTGAATAAAAACGAAGTCGGGTGGAGTTAATAAGATCCTTCTTGCTGAAATTAAATCTACTCAAAATTAACACACTTCAGAATATCATATAGACAAATCGTCAATTGTGTCAATCAAATTGTTTAGGCTGTTTAACTATGCGCTCTTTTTGACACACCGCAAACTTCCTATCCTCTTATAAAGTCAACATTAGCAGTTGGGAACCGCTGAGAGTTCTTATCGGACTAAAACATATAGAGTTTCATCAAGCTTAAGTAGGCCTATCGCAGAGTAACAACAATAGTCAGCACTGAGTATCAGATTACACTTTTAAAATAACTACAAATACAATGATCACATTTCTGCATTCATTTTAATATACTAAGATTGAATGAATTTTCCATTCTCTTCTATTTTTAAACGTGTCACAGTCTGAACCACATGATATGTTTACTTTTACCAACCTCATTATGTTCACTATATCTCCTCTCTCCAAGAATTACTATTCATTTCAGTGTAGCCTAAAACATCTAAGTTAATCAATCAATAAGTTAATTTTGTTTTACTTACATACTACTAGTGCATAATTTAAATCATACTCAACAGTATTTAAATTAGATGAATTTATATTAATGTACACAGGCTAATTTCAAGTCCATTGTGACATTGAATTTTGACTTGAATATATTGATTGATTTATGTATCTGTTTTCTGATTTTATTAATCATGAAAGCGTATTTCCTGTAACTTTTCCCTTCTTACTTACTTAGTATCATTTTTTTCCTCACCTTATTTCTATGCTGCTAATGAATTACTTTTCTGTGTTTTACAACAACTATAGAAATCTGAAACTACTTAATTATAAAACCAACACATAACATTGAACAGATCTGCAGTTGTGCTACTCTAAAACAGTAAACGAAAAGGTAGTGGCCAGTAAAAGTAACACCACAATTAGTAAATCTGTGTGTGTGAAACCGAAGAAAGGATAATTAAGTAAAGCCTAGAGAACTTCGAATAGAACTACGCGTAAATAATCAAGTGGCAGTTTGAATGGTTTTTTTACACTATCTAACAAAGTGTCTTCCACCAACTTTTCTATGTGGCTGGTAGCTAACACTTAGAAGGCTCTTACTTTTATGCAACCTAAAAAAAATTCCAGCTTGATATCTTCACGAAGGAAGGTAATGGATTAAAATATCTAACACAATTTGCAACCAACTAAGTCGCTGAATTCTCAATGTCACTGGTATATATATATATATATATATATATATATATATATATATATATATATATATAGATGCGTAGTTAAAGAAGGTAGGTGGTAAGATTCCGAACATAGCAACTTGAAGATACTTGACTATAACACCTCTGACAGTCGTGAAAGCAATGCTAACAATACAATTTAGTTTGATGGACAAACTTCACCGCAAGTAATTATTAGCAACGAATCTTACAGCACTGACAATTGTAGATAATCAGCTAAGCGTATTCGAGTAAAACTATCCTAGTTTATATTTCTCAAAAGATTCAATATAATAGGTTCAGCACAACATGAAATGTGCGTCGGTGGTTCAGTCATGATATGTTCGCCAACCACCTAGGTTACTAGGTGGTAGTAGTAAGGCCGTAGAAAGAGGCGACGTTGGACGTCAGATTAGCCACCTAACCCGTAAAACGAACACTAACGCTACTGAGAATTCAGAAAACAACCTAAAGCCCTATGTTTCTACACGGAACGCAAAGGAATGACAGTGAGAGAGAGATAAATTAAAACTCGAGTATAAACAAGGTTAAAAGCATATCAGAGAGAATACTTCCTATATATTTAGCTCAGTTATTATAGATTGATAAAATGTTTTCACAAAAAGAATTCAAAGAAACTGATAAGCTGAAAAAGATTATATCAAATTTCAAATTAATCCGATACAATGTACTTTAAAAATATCACCTACACTGAGAAAACAAAACACATAAAGGAGTATGCGGAAATGTGAAATGCTGAACTAACCTTTCTCTCTGACTATCCCTTGTTACTACTGGAGAATTAGGTTGACTTGCATTCAAATTGCCATGTGTTGATCCATCAGTATTGTTTACATCTGAAACATTTGTCACATCTATGTATAATGTATCAGTGTCAGATTTCTCACTGATTTGCTGTCCATGTTCACCTTCTTCGCTAATAAGACTTAAATGAGGATTAGGAGTTGGAATTAATGAAGAATCATTAAGCACATCAGTTGATGAAGGGGAAAAGAAGGAGATAAATTCAACATCAGTGTTGTTCAACTGTCGGTCAACAGTTTTTGATGGTGGACGTCGATTACGAGATCTACTGACGGCTAATCTATGCTGTAAACTAATTAAATCTGAAGCACCAACTGATGAAGGAGTTAAATTGACAGATTCATGGGTATTAGGTGTTGTTAGTACAGATAAACGAGTATTATGATTAGAAGAATGAGGACTGTTTGAACTTTTTTGAGTTGGAGATGAAGAGTCATTCGAAATAAGGCTGTCTGAACTCCCGGTAGATTTATTAACTGCAGGAACTTTAGGCGGCAGATCATGACCAGGACGATTCTTAAGTTTTAAGTTCAACTCCTCCTAATCATATGAAATGAAATATAACATTTATATAACACAAAAGTCAACATGAATAAAATTAAGAATTGTCTAGTTAAAAGATTTTGTTGAACTGATTCATTCACTAGCTGGTTATTAGTCTTTACTTATTTCAACAATAAATCTTATCGATTAACTCGTTCATTTTGATTGCATACTCCCAGAGCAACGGTAGATGACAAGAAACTTAGTAAAGGAATGTTTATCAGTAATTTGGTATCTCTATATAGCCAAATTATCAACAGCATATCTCCAACGCATCATTTGCACAGATCTTCCGTGTTGTGCTAATTCCCGCCTTTATATTGTGTTTCTTTGTGTTCCTTTTACGTTTCCCACGTATCTCCGCAACGCTGTATCATTCACTTTCTCTGACATCAAATCTATCTCCCCGCCATTTTATGTATTGTGTCGACGAGCGTCTCTCCACATACTACTGATAAGTCTTATCAGTAGCACACGCCACACCAGCAGTTTTCTTTACGAAATGATATGCCTTATGATTCTGAAATTTCCCTAATCGAATTTATGACTATATTCACGCTGACGTTTAGCGTAATCGAGAATTCCACATTGTGGCGTTATTTAACGTCTAGTTCCCTCTAAGATGCGCCGTGCAACAACGACAATTATACTGTTGAAATCGATTTTATGTGTATGATAATTTGTCTTTCTTCTCTTCACTTAGTTCATTTTCGTAATTTTTTGGGTTAACGAGAAATACAAGAAGAGGCGAATACGTCAAACATTAAAATGCTATTCATTGTTTTTTATAAATTCGCTTATAATTATCCACGAGAAAATAAATATCACGTTCGTTTCCTCATGAAGAGCAGCAAAACTAGGGCAAAATATGATTACAACACATACTCGCCTAGTTATAAATACTCATAGATGAAAAAGAAAATCAGATCATTTATTCTACTTTCCATGGTAACAGACAACAGTTGATTATAAGGTTTTGAAAAACTCAGAGAATAATCTGTCTAGTGCGGTAAGAGGCGGTGACTTACTCGAAAAGCAGAAGAATTTCGGTAAGGTGATAAAATCTCTCGACTATGCGATGATTGTGGGCTAGAATCATCGTGTGAATCGTTCGGTATATGAACTGCAGAGGAAACTCGATCGCTTTTTCTACAAACAGGAAGAGTCAAGAGGAAATGAAAAGCATAAAATATAAACAAACGTGATAACAGTGATATTCAGTTGTTAAAAAGAAATGAAAAAAAGACAATTTGGTTTAGTTACTGACTAAGTGATACCCCTAGACCTAGGTATTAGGTAGACAGTTTGCTTGCTTAGTCTATTAAAACAAACACCCGAGCATTTCACATACTTGGTACGCCGTAAAACTTTGAAAAACCTAAGGTATATACACTTATGTGATTAGTGATAAACATGAGATGAAAATGCAGGACTCGAAGAAGCCAGTTTCTGAAATATCAGCTGACCGACAACGAGACCACAATGTACATCGGATCATCATTTCACTACAATCACCATTGAGAATGCCTATTGATCTTGTGTATAAATAAACATCATATATACAAGCATTGTTATATAACCACTTCAACTGATTGATCATCACCGGGTTAATCAAAACTATGATCACTACAAACAACGCACAAAATATTAAAACAACACACGTTTATTGAATTATTTCGTGCATGTGATCGAAAATGAATGATTGCGATAGTAAGAGATATTTTTACAAGTAAATGAAAAAAATTCAGAAAATTTGTTTTTGATAAAAAAATTTCTCACGTTTCTAAACCGTCTTTAGTTTAATTAAATATTTAAAATTTTATCAGGTTTCTGCTAGGTGAATATATACATTATGGTTTAAGGTTATTAACAATCTAATTAGTACTGCACACAACTGAGTCTTTATTTAGTAGCCTCAGGTGACCATGATAATGAGTAGCCTTTACGTAAAAATTGGTAAGCGTAAAGGGATAGTTACTGAGGTTATCATCGTTTAACACTAATTAAAAACTATTCTAGGGTGCAGTTAAGGTGTTGCAATAAAAGCGGATGACGAAATAAACGACCTTGAAGAGGTTAGTCACAGTAAGTCATGCTGATTTAAGTAGAAAAAAAAACGATATATTCATGAATAAAATATTTAAAGAAGTTCAAAAGATTCCCAAGCATAACTACTTATAGCTTTCCTCACAGCGATATCATCAGTGTTTATTCAGCAAATGACCTGGAGCTGGAGTTAGGAGACAGGATTTACGATTAGGTATAAGACATAGCAGGTTAGCATGTGGTGTTAAACACTTTTCTGGACGAAGCCTATTTCCTGAATCCTGAACAACATTTCTTACAAATATAATAAATTACATTTCACCTTTATAACTGCACTATCACCTACGCAAACTTTGCATCAGACACTTTAAGGTCACTGCTCCTACTTTGATTCTCGTCGATCGCAATATTCTTTAACTTTGTTTATTCAAAATCTCTAAATACATCCTGATATCAGACGTTGGCAATCAGGAATACCACCGTAGTAGCAGTAGTAGTAGTAGTGGTTGTGATGGCAGATACTTCCATATTACTTTTTAGAATAAAAGATGATATATCTTAGTGTTATATTCAGTTACCAGAGGAAGGATTATATTACCGTTCGAATTACACTTATCACAGAAAGAATTATTACTTAAATAATACCTTTTTAACAAAGGCCAAATCTTAACACTAATATATATATATATATATATAATATATATATATATATATATATATATATATATATATATATATATATATGCAAAAGACGGTAACGAAATCAGCTAAAAATTATACTAATATCTAGTCATCATTTATTCCTGAAAGCTTTACAACGTATAGCAAAAGTTCATTGAAATTCTTCTGTGAGAATCATAGAATATTATTAATTCTATTATTAAATGTTAACTATCTTTTAAAGCTTTCACAGCCTTAGTCTATTTTTGTTATGTATATAAGCAACACAGTTTTCAATTAGCTGACTGATAATACCCTTGAATCATTAATCTGTTTTTGTTTCTCTGTTTAATTAGAACCGTAACTTTTTCTCATAATCACCACTATCAGTCATGCAAAGAAAGTATGTCATTCGTAAATTTCGTTGAACAAACTATGCACCAATGTAGTAGCTGATGACTAGCAGTAGAATCCAGGACGTGCATTTCGTCCTATTCAGGACTCATAGTCTGGATGTGCCTGCATTCCACTGTAAGTGACGGTGCTCCCCTTAGGATCAAACCCAACATCCATTGTTTCAAACACCAAAGCGTTATTCAGTAGCCTACTTTGGCTCAGTAATTATGCGCCGACATATCAACAGAGGCCTAATATTTTGATCCAATCAATCAAGAGAAAGAACAAAATTGACGCAAGCAGTCAATAATAATCAGATTGTTTAGTTATTTTAGTTAGTTGCAGATAAAGTTTATTCAGTCTATAAATGCGATAACAAGAAGCTGGGGGCGGAGTTCACACGTGTAGGATTATCAGATATAGTGTGACAGATGGACCCTTTTTTTTCCTTCACGTTCCCCAGTGGAACATAGGGCTTCAAGCCAGTGGGTTGAAGTTTCTGTAGCAGTGTTTATTTCACAGGATGGGGTTGCTAGCCTCATATCCAACCTTTCCTCTTTACCAGGATTATTTCTGCCTTAGAGAGGTAAAGGAGTGAGTCGGTGGCCGGGGATCGAACCCCGGACCATGTGCATGGTTGGCGAGCGTCCTAACCGCTTTACTACCGACGCACGTGACAGATGGAAGAAACCTTAATTACCCTACAATACTTTCTTTTTATCAAAAACTATAATTCAAGACAAAATGAATGTATGTTTAGGTGATAGACCTTAGATTAAACGAAGTCCATTTCTTGAATATCACTCGAACAGTTACTATCATATGCATAGGAAGAGGGCTAAATTGAGGGAAATACACAACTACAACGCATTTAACCTATCGGTCATTCAATAGAGTAAAAGAGATATGTATAAGCAAATAACTAGATAAATAAATAAGTACACATCTCATAAATCAAGTTACAAACTAATTCTATGTCCATTGTGTGAAAAAATAAAATGTATTAAACGATAAAAATAATAGGCCTGTAGAAATAGAAATCATGCACCTTAGAAATCTATGCGTTAAAACATGATAACGACATAGAATATATTGAATGAATAAAAATGACATTAACATCATTTATACTTATAGATATAAATCTTCAATGTATGGACTTTATCTCTGGATAAAATGATACCTCCATATCAGTAAAAACGATGCCAGTTTATTTGAAGTGATAAGAAGATAAATAGTTCTATCCATAAAAAGGATTATTAGATTTGTCTTTGAAAAGTGTGCAGTGTTAACTAACTGTTTTATTTCTCCACTGAAACCCACACCAAACGATAACAACAACTATGAGTCGGCAGATAGGGGTCTTTGGGATATTTCTTTGCTAGTCATAGAACAACTGAATGAGGTACGGTAGATATTGAGGTTGCTGTAGAGTAAGGAAAGCGAATCAAAAGACAACTCTGAGTGCTTTAGTAAGTGAATCAGTTGTAAAATCTGCGACTTGTATTAACCCACTACCTTCTTTCATGATTTTAGGCTGAAATGGTCCTAGTGTGGATAGAAGTAAGAAGCGGTCGTAGCAAAATTTGAGACTAACTGTTATTTTGTCTGGTTAGAGTTCCTCCACCAAACAGTGTAAAAAAACATTCAGTAGGACGCATCAGGATTTACACTCTATCATAAAATGAAGGAGAAAAAGGTTTGAAAGACATAATTAGTTAAGCTGAGCAGCCGCCTTAAAACTTCGGCTACCAAAAAAACCTCCATTAATATATTGCATATAATTCCTCTTATTCACTTAGTTTAAATCTAGTAAAATATGACCTTGCACAATATTTGTTTACTCTGACGAGTATTTAAAACATTAGTAACCTGCCGATTACCAAGTTTCTACTAGACGTGTGAAAAAGCATTATCCTCGATGGCAAATTATCCCAATACATGGGATGGATGTCCCTGATTGGCGTACTTGGTTCACAAAATGTACTCCTAAGCTTTTTATAACTGGCATTCAACCAAATGCCGCGTATTTCTAGAAGAAGAAAAAGAAGAGATACCATGATAGATTAGTTTGCTCTTCAGGTCGAATAGAACTATATCACACGATCTACTGTCAATTAATCTTTTAGTTGAAGATCCTGAACGAAGGGAAAACATCATTCAGTAAATTCCTCTGAAGGTTCTGTATATTATACAAACATTGTTCAGAATAAAGCTATTATTATTGAGTTTCTACGGTTATTATCTAAAAAGCTGTTCAGGCACGAAAAACAACATTTTTAACTAACTACTTTAACATGTGATAACTTTCTTGCTTAAGATGAACTTCTTTGAATCACACATAAATATTTATATATCGCATACCTGCCTATGATAATTACTACTACTACTATAAGACACAGAAGATATGCACTTTTCTCATTCAATAAATTTTACTTTATTTTTTTAAAGAAACTGAAGTGAATTTTATCGATGAAAGGAGTAGTCTTCATTCAGACTAACCTTTATTTCGTAAAAAAAGTACATATTCTCCTCTAATACAACACCTTTTATGCAACTATGATCTCTATACATGTTGTAATACGCACGAACAAACCGCATAGGTTGTTCAATTACTAATAATTTTTGTTTTGGAAACTATTTATTACATTAAATATGACTGATCAAGGAGACTGGAAGAAAATGTGACCTCTTTCTACATACATACATGCATACATACATTTACACATACATACAAAACTATACACCTTTGATGTTTCAATTTTGGCTTAATTCCCTAAAGAAGTTTAAAGCAGTTTGTTGAACAAAACATTAAAATTACTTATTATTGGTATTTTTTGTATATTTTTGCATTTTACTCGAAGTTTAGTCCATTAGATTATATCTTAGTTGAAATTCATATAAAATAATAATGTTTTATACCACTGAATATATGATTTACACGAACATTGATGAACTGAATTTTCAACAAAATGCAACAGTTCTAATTTATCACACTCTAGAGAAAAAATTCAGAAGAATAAGTACATAGAGGATTATGAGAATTTAATTGATCTGAAGCACTAGAACGGGTGAATGTATCTACGCCATTAACAATGATTTCCAGCCATAGCACTGGTAGTCCTCAACTAATGGTTTTCAGAGTTTCAAGGATCTCAATCAGGCAACCTACACCTCCCTATGTGACTCAAACTAACGAACTGTCAAAGGCTTTATCAATGTATGCCTTGTTTGATCTAACAACTACCAATAACACTTTTCCAGACTTGTCCTACGTCGCCTAACATTCCCCGACGAGGAAGATAATGGTTCAGTAGGCGTAACATGTATCCTAAACATCTCAATTAATACAGCTTTACTACATATGGTTCATACGAATTGATTAACTAAACGTTTACAAAGTCAAAAAAAGAAACTTTCCAATAAAGAGAAAAAGGTAATTCGATAATATAGACTTCGAAAGAGGCATACTTGAAGCATCAGGCGTCATAAACCTACTTGCCTACCTACCGCCTAAGGGACTTTATGGGGCCAACCTTTTCTTACTCCGTTCTTTCTTAGAGTCGGTAAGCAACATTAGCTGACTTGCTTTTGTTACAGCCCTACTTGCCAGCAGTACAACTTAGCCCGTAGAAACAACTTACACTCTGGCGGTAACTGATTTTGTTCTAATCCTTATCCAAGAGACTCTTTTGGAATGGTAGCAATATCAATGCACGATCGCTATTCAAAGTAGAACCTATCTTCAACTATCTTAAATATTACAGAACGTGCACAATTAAAATTCGTTGTTATCTACAAATATAGGTGGTGGTAATATCTACAGGCCCACTGTCCTACATAAGACGAAATGAAACTTAGTAACTTGATTCTGAAGATCGAAAAAGTGCAGTCATAATAAATATTTAAACAGCCTTAATGATATTCTGGTTTTCTAGTTATATAACACTGACGAACACACACCCACACATGGTAATATTAACAAGTTATGCACCGTTTATTATTAACATATCTGAGAATAGTCGAGAGAAATCGCTTACATCACAACACTAATTATGTGTTGCACTTAGAGTTTTAACAGTTGTTTAACTGATACCAGTTAGTGAATGACATTGTCTGTACACTAGAAAATTTAAACACACATAAGCACACCCACACACTGAAAAATATTGACTGCAGGTATATGAATTAACTTGGTTAGTTATAAATTATACTCTCACTATTCACAATTTGTTTTATAAAGTGAGGTAGATGCACAAAGTTGCACATAAATATTCCTGATGAATACTACCGGTGAGGAACTCAGTTACCTAACAGCAGACTAAAAATCCTACTCGATATATGACGGTATTTCGTGCACTACCCAGGTTGAATAAAGTTTAAATTTGACTCAACGGTTAAAACCTGTGTTTAAACCGAATAATAACTATACTGTTACAAGCTACACAATACCTCACTACATAGTCTAAGAGGAAAGTATCTGCATCATTTGAAAGATTAATGACTATTGACAATGATAACGGTGTCAATTTGTTTATTCACATAACTGTGACTATTCTGGTAAGCTTAACATATTCACTTCCTGATGCTTAAGTTAAACAACTGTAAAAAATAACCCCTAAGTAATCAATGCTCGACTATTTTTTTCAAAGTGTTAGTAATCATACCATTCAGAAACCGATGGCTTAGGGCACTGTATTAATATCAGCACTATATTCAAGACTTAATTAATTTACGTCACCTTAGGAGTCTATGTTTGTTACAATCAAGTCTTAATAAAAGCGATAAGACGAATAATCCAAAATACTCAGAGAAACTTCGGCTACAGTAATCACTTGAAAAGGCTTCAAAAGCAAGCTAAATACTTGAGTGACTGACTCACTTACTCGTAAAATACCGCTAAACCTCACATTAGGAACTATGTTTACGTGACTGATCTTCACCTACTGGGTTACAGATTCTAACATACCCTCAACTTCTGAAATTCAGTTAACTAGAAATTAACCCTAGTACACACGAATACAAAAGTGATTTATTGCCACATTTCAAAAGATGAATTCTGATGTACAGCTGAATGGAACCTACTTCTGTGTTATATGTTATTTTTAACCTACCAAACGATTTATCATCCCTCAGTTCCCCGACATACTTTTAAAATATATACGAATTTATCAACCTGAATAACTCTATGCCAAAGGCGATATCACATTTTATGATATTTACTTGAGTACTTTTAAGCAGAAGTCTGTTGACACCATAGATACCAATGATAGTGGTAAATCATTTTCACCCATAAAACTGTGAGAAATATTGAAAAACGCGTCTGTGATGTAATTAGCTAAACAATTTATAAATTATTAACACACAACATTGAACAATAAAAATAAGTATTAGAAATAGAGGTAATATGTAGATACAACAAACGCCAAGTTATAATTCCTGTTAAACACATGTTACAGTTAATAACAATAACAAATACCTACACGTATTACAAACGGGTTATAGATATACGTGTATACGTAGCTTTATAACACTAGTTGAATTATAAAACAAAATTATAATATTTAAACTTTGGTTTAGTAAGCATTTGATTAGTTTCAAAAATCAACATCACAGTTAGCAAAACCACTGAAAATCAAGGAGTGCGAGATTACTGAACACTTGTCTCGTACTAGTTAACCACTTTACCAGCTAGCGTGCAATAATGACAACACAATTCCTAGACACGAGGAATGTACAACAGTCGTTCACATAGGAAAACGCCTACCCTGGATGTGCACACCTCTAACCTAAGCCAATGTTAAAGTGATAAATAAGTGCTTTTAAAATAAAACTTTAAAAAAAACAAAAGCTGAATTATACAGGGTTGGATTAGAATAGGACAGTTTTATATACTTACTTCATATTGCTATTCATATTAGACAAATCAAATAGATAAAAAACAAGTCTAATTGATTAAAACTTGAAGATGACAAAGACAAACAAAAAAGTAGTCGATTACTTCAAGGCAAAATGATTAGTGATGTTATATTTTGTAAAGAAAACTACTTGGGGAAATTTCAACAACTTTTTATTTATTTAAAACATGAAATTTTGTACAGCATGGACAGGAAAAAATACATTGAGCAAAATAGATAAGAAAAAAGCAGGGAAAAGAAATTACAGAATAATAGAATAATTAGATGAACAAATATTTACAGAAGCATTCATTACTTTACGTCTCTATCTTTATAACACAAAGAAGAATAAAGAAGACTGAAGCGTGTTTACTGTATCTCATATCGCAGCAAATCACACCGTGTCAGAACAAAAAGTTGTGATGAACCAACACAGGCTAACTAAATAAATCCATCTATCTATTTCACAGTGCTGAGTTATGAACTGACTTGTGTTGGCCTCTTTAAATCATTCGCAGTACTAGCTAGAAAAGTGAACACTTTGAGGACTGGTAAAATGACATTTGTAATATTAGCCAATGTTCCGATATTACATTATTATTATTGTTTCCTTTAGTTCCTAGAGGAACATAAGGCTTCAGCCACACGTCTCCATTGTATTCAGTTCTCTCCCAACGTTTTCACCTGGCTCCACGTCTGCCCGCATGCTTTCATCTTCTCTTCACATGACCTCCTCCATGTCACCCTCAGACGACCATCTCGCCTCTTCCCGTTCAGACTCCACTCGATAAAGAGCCTGGTGTGTGATATCACTTGATGGTTTTCTCAGAGTATGGCTAATTCACCTCCATTTCTTCCTGCATATTTGTTGCGCAATCGGTTCCTGGTTGGTTCGCTCATCGCCAAAGATCTCTGTTGCTGATCTTTTCTGGCCGGTCATCAGAACTTGGGTAGTATGGAACGAAGACAGTTAGCTGTTGATGAAGTTCTGTAGTCTGTTTGAGGTGCTCTTCATGACGCGCCAAGTCTCTGATCCGTCTAGTAGCACTGATTTCACATGGGAGTTGAAAATCTGCATCTTATTTTTTCATGTTTAGTGCTGTTGATCTCCACACAGACTTGAGAGTAGTAGAGGTTTGCCTTACTTTCCTGATCCTTACTTTGATATCGTCGTCATTTCCGCCTGTAGTTGAAACGATGCTTCCCAGGTAGGTAAAGGAGGTTGCTTCGTTCAGATTTCTCCCATTTATGGTGATTGTTGTCTGTTGTTATTGTTGTTGGTGTTGGCCAGGAATCTTCATCACCTCTGTTTTCTCTATGTTCATCAGAAGTCTTATCTTTGATGCTTCTTCTGCTAACTTGTTGCTTTTCATTTGCATATCTTCCAGGTTGTAGGAAATCAGACGTATATCATCAGCAGATCCTCAAAGTTTTTTTGTGTGGGTTTGTTTTGTGCCTGTTTCCTCGCTTCCCGTTCTCTATCACATTATCCAGTCTACCACAATCAGGAAAATCATTGGGGATAGCAGGCAGTCTTGTCTTACTCCCGTCTTCACTTCGAAGGATTCCGTGAGTTTCCCGCTGTGGATTACTTGGCATGCCTGTTCCAATATAACACTTTTTGAATGATTATCACTATCATGCTGGAACATACAATACTAGTATGTACTTTAATTTTAATGGTTAGACTGGCATCAAGAAGAATCTAAGCGCTGGTGAGGTGTGGATGTCACTCTGACTTTAAATGTACTATTCACTTTTATATCAGAAGTCCAAGCCTCCCTCCCCCAGAAATACCAACATACCAACATGAACTCTACCAGTGCTTTCAATATTTCATATGTGAGAACACACTTCTATCCATCTTCCAAAAGTAATTCTCACTTAGTCGACTGACTATTGCATTGTTTGTATATCGATGTAAAGTATGGCGATATCACCTGCATACTTAAAGTTCATTTTCTCTTTTTAGAGTTAATATATATGCAGTACGACCGTAGACCACTTCCAGAACTGTGACCAGTAGGACAGAAAATACTAACAGGAGAGATACATGCTTGTTACATTATTATAAAATCGTAACTTTACATCGTGAATTCACTAAAGCTGGAGACACCAATTCTGTCTGTCTGTCTATTTTCGACATAGAACTTTGCACATATGTGCGGCGATTCAAGTCGCCACACTCCACGTAGCACACAAAGCAAGAGAAGAAATGCATAATAGAGATAGTAAATAGAGGTGTGAGACAAAGGAACAGTAATAACGAAGAACAGTATAGTTTCATTTGAAATCATAAGTCACAAGGAGTGGATGCATCTGCGCCATTGAGAACGATTATGAGCCATATCACCAATTGTTTCCAGCCATTGGTTTTTACCGTCCCGAGGACCCCAACCAGGAAGTCTACATCTTCCTATGTGGATTAAACTAACTGTTGTGGATTTCATTGACTAGGACACTAGTTATCAGATTTCATTTTAGAGGACAAATGGTAATGTGAATGCCATAAAAATAATAGATTCAGAATTCGATTGTGTAAAATTATGTACTAATGACTAGTTCAAAAAGAGAACAGAAAACTGTGTATTGAGTTCGAACTCAAATCCATCATAAAAGATGACTGTAATAAGATGCTCTTTATAGGCTACCTATAGCTTATTAGTAATGGTGACTTCCTAACTGCCCTTCATCGTATAAATTGAATCCTTTCTCGGTATTTCAAAAACAAAGGAGAATTCGCTTGAGTGACCATAAAGGCTAAAAGTCGTCTGCCTAAGGTCAATCACAAACGACTTTTAATAAATAAATAAATAAATTTATTGTATTTATACATAAATCATCATATTAATAGCGACAGGAAACCGTAATGCAAAACAAAGTGTCACTCATAGCATTGATTTTCTTTATGCTTTTCGTCCTACAGTCAAGTAGTACAACTAAAATGGTGATCGCTCAAGAGAAACACTATTTTGCCTTCATACTCCTTTAAGTGTAGACTGTTTACACCACAACAGTAGCTGCTTAAGGTTGCCCCGCCGCTTAAACAACTTTCCTAATATGGTAAGATAATATGAAACAATAGCCCTAGTTAGCAAAGCTCATTCGGACATCAGATACCTGACTACCAGCTTTTGGAAAATTAATTGTCAAACTAGTTAGAAAAGATTTATATGCACGTTCACTAGATCCCGATCACACTATAGACAACATACGGAATGTCACTGAAAGCTCTGTGCTATCCCAAAAACATTTCAGCTTACGGAAAGTCAAGAACATTCACATCCTGAGCTAAAAGTATTTCCTTCTATTCACATATCATCTGGGACTAACAAACTTCGACAAATCCAAAACTGGAAGACATTCACCAATTGAAAAAATACTTTCACAACTTTTGGTTTATGGGTGTTAATCAGTCATCAGTCAAAAACTTTAACACCTCTAAAAATGTTAAAGGGAATAGAAGAGGGTCATGGTTAAGAAATTCGGAATGCATGTCATATACCCAACCATTATCCGACACTATTCGTCAGCTAGTTAGAACTCACCCCGAACGGATTTTTCATTTACTAGTATATGAGGAGTGATAGTACCGCCCAATTGTCAAGGTTGAAGTAGATGGAACGGGACTTCAAATGAGAACCCATTGGCTGTAAGTTTAGTGATTAAGCCAATGAATCACATCTCTGTAAACGATGCTGACTAATTAATCAATTACCAATCACAAGTTATTTATCAAAAACACTTGGACACAAACACATGGACCACAGACATTAATACCACACAAAAAATAGGCAAAGATAAAAGGTTATAACAAAGATTCAAATGTTTTTGGAGACAAAAGCTAAACAACACATTAAATTAAAGTCCAACATAGTGATGAAGTGAATCCTTACGACAGTCAAAGCGAAACTAATTGGAAAGAGATTGAAGTTTAATTCAAGAAAAATATGTTGTGTGGAATTTTTTCATAACATTAGAGACAACTCTAAAACATAAAACTATTATCCCTTTGGCAAGAAACAAACCAAACTATTGTTGAGTTAAAACAAAGAAGGTGTCATTCCACAAAAAGACAAAATCTGTATACTTGTGACAATGAGTCGAGAATACTACATTAAGGCAGAAAAGGTATTACAAGACAACACATTCGATCGAAAGCTGGAAGTATGCAAAATGAAGAAATGCATAGGTAGTTACGTAGAAGTAAACTGGACATGATTCTGAAAAAGGAAATAACGAAAATGGATCAAGGGGTAATAAGATTGAATTCAATGACCAAATTCTACTCTGTACTTACAATCACTCAAAAGTACACAAACTGAATCAAGTTAACTGTTTCCTCAGAGAAACACCCACAATTAATTTATCGGAAATGTTGAGACATCTCATGTATAATTTAAGAAGCTTAATTTACTCAGCTATACAATTTCTTGGATAAAAAGGAAAACATCAAGTTGAGTGAATGAAAGAAACTGTGATATCGGTTAATGTAACAACCTTGTATACTTTTCAAGACCGAAATTTAGCCAGATGGAGTACACAAAAGCCCGACAATTCGTTCTAATCAAACGATCGGAAAAACAAAATTGCATTAAAAACAAACAATAACCGATGCCCGTTGCACAAAGGGTGGCAGCTTTGGTGGTCCAAATGGTCTGGTGAATGACGCTTCTGCATTTAAAACGAGGGTCACTGGGCTCCATATCCAGAAGGAATTCCACCACTCATTGAGGAGTGCAGGTACATTCAGATGATGAGTCTCAAACAGGAAACAACGTGAATCCTGGATTCCACTGCTATTCATCATGCAACAATAGTTCCTTATCAATACTTTTACTAGATATATCAGGCGGTGAAACAGTATTAGTTACTGGGTTGTACTGTTTCAATGTGTGACAACCGGTGTTTGGAGAAATATGTGAACATACACTATCACGGCTCCCAAGTCATGCACATATACCTTTTATCTAATCTCTTATCAAAGTGAGATTATAACTTGGATATTCGAATAGGTAAAATTCGATAAACGATGTCACCACGCGAATGGACTGCACTAACGACTACGAAAGAAACAATCAACTGACTTTTTTTGAAAACAGTCACTAAAGTCAGAAAAGTCAAATCTACACATAAACAATACATACATATCAAAAAATGAACTGCAATAGCTTCGACACAACTCCATAAAGGAAAAGATCTGTGAAATTATTGCTTACACAAAAAGGCTTTTTAGTAAACGGTTGTGGATGTAACCAAAAACATGTCAGTACACGAATTCCTAATATAAAATTAAGATCAGATTTTCAAAACAAGACATATTTCAGAGAATTCCTAAAAGCATAAAACTGAGGTAGAAAAGCACTTAATACGTATCTACACTTGGATAAAACCAGCGAAGATTATATTCGGTAGAGGTAAAGATTAAGTGGAAAAAATTACCGACTATAGTCAAAAACAGTGAGAAATCCTTTACCTGGAATACCACACAAGAATTAAATGACTCGAATGAAGACAGAATTTCCAAAGCACTGAAATTAACTAATACCGAGATGAAAGATCATAATGAATCCCTTTTTGAACCACAAATAAATCGGACAATAAAAAATCACAATAAATGATCCTGATTAGTAATTCAACCATTCAAGTATTCAAAATTCTGTTAAAGTAAGTCAATCAAATCCACGAAGGACAACGAAAAGTTAATAAAAAAATATATTTATATAAATGATCTGTTTAACAGCTAATTTTCCTATTTCAGCTGATAGAGTTCTAGAATATGCAGTTAGTTTGATATGACGAAGAACGCACAGAGAATAATACTTTAACATTAAGGGATTTATGTAACAAACCAATAAACATAGTTCTTTTCTCCTATTAAGACAAATATGGACATAAAACTATTCTGCCTCTTCCAATATGTTTAGTAACAGATCATGCAGAACAAAGACTTTAACCATACTAACCTAGTGAGAAATGAACAACTAATTTACTTTACACTACACACATTAAGTGAAGAGTCTGAATGAATTACTGTAGTAAGAAAGATAATCTACACATAATTAGATTTCTAATAAAAGATTATGTGAATTAACAAATGAATGTTACTCAACAACCACTTAAAATTTCATACGGTAGACAATGAGCCACACCTATTGTGGAGAAGGGAGGATACACCACATAACTAACTAATAAACAATGTTATCAAGATTCACTCTACCACATTAGAATTAAAGTGGCTTTCAAAAAGACCAGAGATAAAATTTAATGCAATAGGATGATGGGTGCATTTCACAAGAAAACTATTTTTCATAAGTAATACAATGAAATTTCTACAAATAACACCCTCCACTATTCTGAAACTAGAAGCTATAGGAACTGTAATAAGCAATACAGAATTCGGCACTTCAAGGCAGTTGATAAATCAGAAACCACTGAAATTGAGGGATATTAGAAATTTGTCTCGTTATAGCAACAGTACACAATCCCTCCCCCCTCCGAAGTTTAATGACAATCTGTGACCGGTAGAATGAAAAAACGTCGACAGTTACATTATGCCATGGATTGCAAAAAGCTGAGAAAACATGGACTATTAGATACCGACTCGTCGAGGGAACGATGAAATGCCCACCACAAGGTTTGATGACTCTGGGTTCGATTCTTCAAGAGGTTGTAGGCAAATCCAGCTGAGAACAACCATTAAACTGGTGGTTTCTTGGGTGATGTTAATGAGCACTGAAAACACCTCTGAAATCTAAATTATCCCGAAACAGCTTCAGGTTGTGCAACACCATGTTCTCCTATTAAATGACCAACTTTGTGCGGAGTACAGCATAAACATTACTTTCTTTTCTTTTTTGATAATGAAGTGTTCATACCATGTAAAGTTAAACAACTCTCTTCCATATGGACAGATGAGACTTTAGCAGAGAAAGCCGAGTAGTGCTCCACAATCACAACTCTGAAGTAAATGTGACATTAAACAGTATATAGCATTTTTCTTGATTTTCCACAGCTTAAATATGTTTATGGAGACTTACTTTCACCAAATAGTAATATTATAAAGCAGCCACATCCCACATATTACCTTATATTCCCAATAAAGGTGAACGGGTTTTACAGCAAATTTGTAATGATAATGATTAGCTTTCTAACCCACACTAGTAACTGACTACAGGATGGGGTTGCTCGGAGTTCTAATGAGAAGTTGTAACCATTGGGGTCTACAGAGTTAGATGTGGGGGCATATACTAACCGACCAGTGGTGCTATATAATTAGAATCCACTAACCATTATATTCCATCGTGACTTTTGGAATGGTCCACTGGCTTACCTCGTAACCTGAAGATCCCGAGTTGGATCCTCAGTGGGAGCATGAGTGCGCATGTGAATGAAGAGTCCCAAACTAAGACGAAGCGGCTGTCCAGTACCCAGTGGTTTTCAATAGCTCTCTAAATGGCTTCAGTTGGTAATCTAACTTGAAATAAATCAAATCACTGCAAACTAGCACCTGCAAGCATACCAATAAGTTAACATAACACCAAATAGATATTCATAACTAAGTCGACTACCACAGTTAGAAATGCCATATTTAAGAATAAATTAACTCATGTTGAATATGCAATGCATAACACTACCTGATTGTATTTATTTGCATAAAACTAGTTGGTAAATAAATAATCAATTTCGAATGCATACTTTGATCACATATACAACGCTATACTCATAACATTTAACCAGCTGATTTACGCTGATACATATAACGAATTTCATAGAAAACAGTTCAATTTATTTAAACCTACATGAATTCATCATTATAAGATAACACCAACGTAATGTTTTTTTAAGTTTTTAAAGCTGATCGAAATGAATCTATCAAACAAACAGTATGACCACGAAAACCGGTTGATATAGTGTTACACTGTACCATAATTAGATTCAACGAGTAAGAAATCAACTAACAAGAAGTTTCACTTGAAAACACATTTTGCATTTATCCATTCATTCTTTCCTCCACATCATTCATTGTTGAAGTCAGTTGCTACAACATAAGTCTTTGATTATACGGTTGATAATTTAAGTCAAAAACACCTATAAATTGTTATATTAGATTATATGCACTCTTTTTAAGCATCTCTTAGTTGACACTTTAAGGTCTGGAAGACATTAGGTGAGTGTAAGAAACATTCAGAACACGTTGAATATCTCACTTCAGTATAAATATAACTGAACTCATCTGAGAAAACACTTGACAATATGCTAAAAATAAATTCGACATTGGGTTGCAATAAAGCATGATCTCTCAACATATGAGTTCCAAAAAAGTGAAGAGATGACTAAATACCTTCAAGCCAAAGCACTTATATTTTTTATTCCTATGCAGCTTATAGGAAACATCCCTGCCACAACATGTCTAATGAATTCACCCTCTGACCCGAAAATCAATTCACAACTAGGCTTCTCCAGCAGTAACATAAACTAAAAAAACTTAATTTTTCGAAAAACGTCTTTCACTATCATTCCAAATTTCCAACAAGTGCTCCCCGAAATATACCGATGACACAATTTGGCTTAAATAAGCACAGAATGGTCTTTTAGGAAATTACTTCTTAAAGTGAAAATTAAGGGACATCTAAAACAGCTTCTAAACTGTATTTGATAAAATCTACTTAAAAAATATACCAAAGCAATTAAACAGGTAGCGTCAGGTCGGGATAACCAAAATTTGTTAAGGTCCTTTCAGTTACAATGAAAAAGTAACCACTTATAATAACTAACTCATTTTGAAAAGCAGAACTTTATTTGACAATGTTTGGGATACCAATAAAATATTTTAGAAGCAACAGAACCAAAACACGTGAGTATACTTATCAGGTATGTTAAGTGAAACATCTGCTACTTGATATTACTTTAGAAAGTAAAAGAGGAAAACCACTGGGTGCTTCCCATTGAGTCATACCAGATAATGTCACGGGTCCCAAACCCCACTCAGGCAGTAAGAACCAACGAGTAGAGGTTATTAATCCGTGGCCATATGATGGTATTTTGACGAGGAGACCAGAGTCCATCTACCGTTACTGCTACCAGGCTATTTGCAAAGGGTAAATAATTCTTAACATCCGAAGAAACTCATACAGGCAAAATAGAATTCGGTACATACTATATACAACCAGAACCCTTAGATTACGGTGTTATGTCTCCGTCCTATCACTCCCAGCATTCTTCTAGTCCAATTCTAATCCAGCCAATATTAATTTTTTGGAACGGTGGTCACTTCTCATGCACAAGACATCTGTTTCTTCAATCACTGAATTTGTTTATTCTCATCAAATGGTTTACGTTCAGTCTGAATGAGTATACCACAGTTTTCATGCTTTGGAGTTCTCACCTTCGTAGACAACTAAACACGACGAGGGAGAATCGATTTACTTTTCCTTCGAAACGTCATTATGCCGTCACGTATTCATAGCCAGGGCTGACTAGGACCTATTCATCGCCTGTGCCGGTTTTGCTTACTTAATCTACATAAATATAAACCTACTTAACAAAGCATAGTTTCGAGAGTATTGAAGTAGTAAAAGGTGCTCGGTCAAGAACATTTAGTCCCAGCTTCTTTAATAGTGATAAGACTAAGAAAATGATTGAAAAGACCACCTGAAAAAGTATGGGGTATTGAATGTATCCCATCAATGTAGAGTGAGACAACCAATATGTTCATAAGAAAAGTATACGTAATATGTGACAATCATCGGAGTGCTAATATACTGCAAGATGTGCCTACAACGCCGGCTGATAGCATGCTCCACAGGTTTTGTTAAAAGCATGGAAAACTACCTCAAAAAGAGCAGACTAGATTTTATTGGCATCGTGGATACACATATCACGTGTTTACTCTCTACTGGTGGCGGGCGTATTCTAAGTCAATCGTTCCAGCTATTGATGTTAGGGAAACAGGTGTCTCTAAGTTTATCAACATCCTCGAAGTGTTATACAAAACTTAAAATAACGAAATGAAAGTTCGAGTTCAGCAAAACGGAAAAATAGCGTTGAAGACAGTCTCATAAACGACCAGATATGATAGTCAATTAAAGGGGTGGAATCAAAACTAAACAAGTGACTAAATAAAAGGACAACTCACGACAGGCAAGAAGTATAAACAAGGACTGATATACCTCATTTACATTTCGGTAACCAAACACAGATTTATCTATGTTACAGACACTAATAAATATCTCAACCCTGAAAAAGAGATGTATTTGCAAGATTAATCGACATAAAGACATCACAGAAAATAAAACCTTCATTTAATCATAAGTCTTAATCTCTCACAGGTGTAAGTAAATTTGAAAATAAAAGAATCTAAGTCAACTTTTGATATACCGCAATAAGCCTGCAAAGCTTCGGATTCATTTTGATAAAGTGAATTCGGAATTAGCGTGGCGATATAACCAAAATAATAGTAACAAACAGCAATATTTTTTTAATTTTTGATTGCAGCTTGATCCCACACCGTATTTTTGGTACAAATATGGAATTTTCAGCATGGATATCGGTAGCCCAAATTTCGCAGGCCGACCATAGATATCAGGTGTGCGTTGGCAGGGGATCGAACCCCGGACCATGTGCATGGTCGGAGAGAGTCCTAACCACTGTGCCACCAACGCACAATAGTGGCTGACTTCATGCAGACTTAAATTACTGTCAGCCTACACATCTTACATATGCAGGCGGGCTGGCCAACAAAACGTTACTGTCCAAGCATAACGAATTATTTGAAATATATCTCCACTGTACGTAGACAAATACGAAAAAGACCCAAGTGACACCAACTACATACTTAACTGCCCATATGGACCTCAAGTACTGGTTTGCTGAACTTAAACCCGATGTTATTTGATGATTCCTACAAAACCTGCTAGTGAAAATGAGCTTTAGACGGTAAGCACATCGTGAATTATTACATAAGAATCTGCGTCCAACTTATTCTCAGCAAAGTCGAACTTCTGCTTTACCTGAGAAGCAAATCCAAAGATTGTGTAGAAATAAGTTACGAATCGGCACAGCAAAACTCAGCGCCTATAGTGATGCAGTTTTGGTAAAAATAAAAATGGAAACAAGCGCTGAAAATGTTGTCTAGGAGGACAATGGAAGCTCTTTGAGCTCTCTCTAGTTCGGAGAACATAACTACACCTGAGCTACAAACATTGACACACCTAAAACAATATAACCGATGTGACTTAATGGATCCTAGACAATTAACACCTAAAAGTAAGCCACCATACTAAATACTTATATGCTGTGACTTGCTGGAAAGTATTAACTACCGCCTAACGCTAAGATAATTACGTGCACTGATACGAAACCCTTAAAATTGCAGACAAAATGTAAACATACCTTAAGGACAGAGTGTCATTCGCCTCTCTTGCAATAGAAACTTTCACTTCTTTGCTTGTCCTCAAATCATCAGAAGAGTAGCAATGATTGCTAACATCGCGACTAATTATCGGTACACTAGGCTGGTGGTGTTTGTGAAAAGCGCTACGCAAACCACTTCCGAACCTCGAGAAGAAACTCTTCACTTTATCTAAGAATAAGGTGTTATCAAATAATAAATTTTAATTCGATTGTAAATAAGTGAAATATACAAGGTGAGTGACGAGCAGTTACCGAAATATATAGACTTTAAGGTTTAAAGAGTACTTACTACATTCGTGTCCAGTTTCCGGGGCTAAATGTCCCCTTTTCTGTAATATAAAGCTATTAACAAAATGGTTTTCACACCTTCTTTGAAGTTCGCATACAATTCAACGCTTAAACAACCGTGTCAAACTCGCAATTATAAAATTGATATTGAACATCGCGCCTTCTATGACCTATATTTTCCGTCCAATTGTAGACATTTTTAACAACCAGGCAATATCCAATATCGTTTTCAGCAGCTAACGTAAGACACTTTGACTTTTTGTACTAGCCTCTTGGTCATGATTCAGATTATAGGGATAGAAGAATCTTGGTGCCTTTGAGATATATGTCTCTGCAGAAGTTAGTATCTCTTTGAAAGAGTTCACTCATAGAGTTGTTGCTACTGAATCAGGTCAGGAGTTACAATCGTTGACCGCTCTGTCAGAGAATCTAAATTCCTTACATATTTTATTCGACTTTGAGTTGATTACCTTCTCGTGGTGACCTCGTGAATGTATCCTAGATGGAGAGAAAAGCAATAGAAGGTCAAGCCCTAAATGACCTTCATTATATGGTATGCCAAAATTAAGTCGCTTATCCTCCTTCGTTATGATAATGAGAAGAGATTTAAATGCTCCATCCTCATATCAAAGGGCAAGTGTTGCATGCCACTAACTAATATTACTCCTACCCTCTGTACTCTGTCTAAGATTTTTACATCGTTTTTGAAGCAGGGGCTCACCACTTGTATGCAGTATTCTAGATGAGGTTTGACATGTAATGCAAAGAATGCTTGAAACATACCTTCGTTTAATCGTTTGAAGGCCCTTCGAAGTGTCCATAGCATTCGAAAAGCCTTAGCTGCGGCCCCTTTACAGCTGCCCATATTTTTAAGTTTTGGCTTGCGATGATTCCTAAGTCCTATGTCCCTTAACATCCGGCACTTCTGTGTCCCCGAGAGAGTAAGACCTCTGACCTACGTGCATCAACGTGCTTTTCTTGGAATTAATTTCTAGGCTCCAGAGGTCAGCATATTCTGTTGATTTATCTAGACCGTTTTGTGCTACCGACCTATCATCCCTACTTCTTACGGTTTTCCATATCTTAATATCGTCCTCAAATAATAGGGAAGATAAGGTAAGAATTTTCGTCAGTTCATTCGCTTATAATAAGAATAGCAGGGGACCAAGTACATTTCCCTGAGGTACTCCAATTATTACTGATTTTCACCCTGAGAGTACACCATTAACTCCTACCTTCTGTCTCATATCCACCAGATAGTCGCTAAACCTCTCACATAAGCGTAGGTCTAATGCAAAACGTTTGAGTTCACTAGGAAGACCTTAACGGGATACCTTATCGAATGCTTTAGTAATTTCGATAAAGACAACGCCCA